GAGGAGGAGGCGGAGAGGGGCAAGAGGAGGAGGTGGAGGAGGAGGAGAGAGGAGGAGGATGTGGAGGAGGAGAGGAGGAGGAGGGGGAGGAGGGAGGAGGAGGAGGAGGAGGAGGAGGAGGAGGAGGAGGAGGAGGAGGAGGAGGAGGAGGAGGAGGAGGGACCACACGTGTTGCCAGCATTGAGGCGAGAACGCGATCCCTGAATAATTTGCAGGGACATCTCAAGCGAAGTGCGAGCCGACGCTAGAAATCAAGGTAGTCGACCCTCATCGGCGCTATCTCATCGACTACCAAACGCTGATCGACGCTAGTGCGCTCTAAAGCTGGAATTGCGAAGGTACACGCGGCTCCCATCACTTGCTACCGAACGACTCGCTATCAGCGATCCGTTCTTCATCGAGCTCAAGGAAGGTAACTTGCATGTTGCCCTCCCCTTCCCCTCCGCCGCCTTGCAAAGCAATACTGGGCCGAAACGGCGTGCGAGTGAGTTTCGACCTGCATGAAGTCCACAGTTCCTTCAGGGTCTCGCCAGCTCCTCCCGCCCCCCCCCTCCGTGCAAAAGAATTCCTCCCAAACCAAGGAGCACTACCTCAAACCGACCATTTCCCCAAGGCCAGCTTTTCATCCCGTGTCGTGGTTTGACGGTCTTGGGGCCTGGCGAGGGCCCACCAAAGGCCGAGAAAGCGGACAAACACCTGCCGTTTGCGGTCGTTCTCCATGTCAAAGGATGGGGCTCTCGCTATGACGCAGACGTGTCCGACTCACACCTCGCTCGGACCTCCCTCCTCTCCCCCCCGCTCCTCTTTCTCCCCACACGGACTTACTCGTACTCAGACCGGCCCCCACTCAAGCTCGATCATACTCATAATCACTCACACTCAGTCTCACTGACACTCATATTTACTCCTAATGGGCCCCACACACAGACTCATTGTCACTCCGACTCGCTCATACTCAAACTCACTCATACTCAGACTCACTAACACGCAGACTTTCTCATACTGACACTCGCACACACTCAGACTCATTGACACTCAAACTCGCTCATACCCAGACTCACTCATACTCAGACTCACCCATAGCCAGACTCACTCTCAATCGGTCTCGCTCGTACTCACATCCAGTCATACACAGGCCTACTGACAGGCTGACTCGCTCAAACTCAAGCTCACTCGCGCTCAGACCCGCTCGCTCATACTCACGCAGACTCACTCACACTCGTCGGCGAGGGCTTGGTCTCACACCCAAAGGGGGGAGCCGCCAAGGCACGTTCGCCCTCAGATCGTGGGGATGTCTCGCGCGGCTTGCCTGTATTGGTGGCTTGGGCTTGTGTGCTTTCGGAGCTGATTGCGAGGGTGTCTCAAGCACTGCGCTGGCTTCAACACCCCAAGGGGGAGCCGCCAGGGGTTGTCCCGTTCCCCCGTCCGCCCTCAGATTGAGATTGTGCGGATGTCTCAAGCGGCTTGCCTGTGGTGGCTTGGACTTGTCTGCTTTCGGAGCAGGTTGTGAGGACGTCTCAAACAACGTGCTAGATGTAGCACCCCCAGAGGGGGGGGGGGGGCGCAAGGGGTGGTCTCCCTCCCCCCGCCCGAATTCAGATCACGCGGATGTTTCATGCACTGCCTGGTGTCTTAGACTCGTCTGATTTCGGAACGGATTATGATGATGTTTAAAACAATTTGCTGGCTTCAGCGCCCCAAGGAGTAGCCGCCAGGAGTGGTCTCACTCCCCCTTTTGCTCTCGGATTGTGGGCATGTCTCAAGCGGTTTGCCTGTGTGGTGGCTTGAACTTGTTTGCTTTCGGAGCATAGTGTGAGGACCAGCGTCCCTACAGGGGAAACGCCAGGAATGCTTGCACGGAGAAGGATGAGGAGGTGAAGGATAATGGAGGATGGAGGAAAAGAAGGAGGAGGGAGGAGGGGGGATAACGAGGAGGGAGGACGAGGAGGCGGACGAGGAGGAGGACGAAGAGGAGGAGGAGGAGGAGGAGGAGGGAGGATGAAAAGGAGGGAGGCAATCGGAGGAGGATGGAAGAGATGGAGTATGAGTGACGACGAAAGACGCGGAATGGGGAGGAGGAGGAGGAGCAGGATGAGGTTTGGCGTCGTCATGCCGCCGCCCACTCGGACTGTAGCACCTGGAAATTCGCAGCCAGACGCACTCACAACGAGATGTGCCAAGAAAGTGAGATGCACATATGTTGCCGCGCCATGTGTTGTCGACGCGCCCAAGTGGACGACGCCGACACCGCGACAAACCCTGCGCCTCGCGCCCCACGACGGAGCTGACACCGCGGCAAACCCCACGGCGAGCCCACCGCCTCCGAGGCGGCGTTTGTCCTGGTGGCCGAAGCGCCCTCCCCAAAACGGAAGGCCGCGCGTCGAGACGACCGCGGGGTCGTTCCTATGCTGGGGTCCGTAGGTAGAGGCAAGGAGGAGGACTCCTTTTCCAGGGCGCTGCGCAGGAGGCAGCGCACTGTCAGTATTGTGCCGATACCTGAGCCGATACAGTTGTGGTATGTGATGATAGAATGGGGGTATGAGCGGACTGCACACACACACACACAGACAGGCCCTGGCAACCCTCCCCGTCCTGG